AATATTTTTATATATTTTAGATTGTGCATCTCATCCTTTAATACATGGTACTTGTTTTTTGATTTCTTAAAAGATTGTGTTAGATTTTGACAAATTTGTAACTTTTAGAGGTCAGAGCAAATGTACAAATTAAAGTTAGATGTAGATCTAGTTTTTCAGTGCCACCCAAGTCAGAAATGTTCATAAGTGGCAAAGTTAGCAAATCCATAATGATAGGTTTACCAGGTGTTTGTTCTGTACATAATTATTTGTTTTTGACGAAAGGGTTACTTCTAGTGAAATCAGTTGCTACTATTTCAAAGAACGGCTCAGTCCCTATTAAGATATTGAACCCTCTTGATGAACCTATGTTTGTAAATAAAGGATCAATTCTGGCTCATTTCAAACCAGACAGTTCGTTCAACATTCAAACGATAGACTTGGACAAAACCCCCGTCGAGTGTGCAAACGTAACTTTATCTGACGCCAAGTCAGCACCAGCATGCAGTGAATCCTCATTCCAATGAACAATTTCTGCTGAATTTTAACTTTGACGATGAATTGAGTGCCAGGTACAAAAAGTCGTTAACAAAGTGTTTAATTAAAACTAAATCCGTGTTTGTTACAAAGGAAATCCCAGACATAGGTCTTACACGTGTTGTAGAACATCAAATTCATCTCAAGCCCGATGCACAACCTAAACACGATACCGATTACCACAATTAAACAAGTGTTGCGTCACCAGCTTCACGATCTCTTAAGACAGAATATTATTGCACCTGTTCAAGAAAGTAAAAATGTCCCTATTACAAGTCCTATTGTGTTACTATCAAAACAAAACAAACCAAAGGGGAAGTTAAACAACTGAACTAAAGATCAGTGTGTATCATACTACAGGTTTTGTTGTGATTTTCGCTACCTTAATTCTGTGACGCAAGAGTTCCGATACAATATCCCTGACTTACAGAATCATTTACACTGCACTACCCCTGGATGCTTCCAAATAAGTTTCAGCTTTTTGGTCAAATGGTTCTTGAAAAGAAGAAGAAAATATTACAGTTTACAGACAGACACACGGACAACACAAAAGCTCACTTGAGCCCTCGGCTCAGATGAGCTAGTAAATATAACTCATCAAGGTTTTGCTATTCTTGAGAAGATTTTTCCTATGTTTTTGGTTGACCATTGTGGCCCAACCCTACTCCCAGGATATTACGATTCGAATTTGAATTGTCACTACCCCCAGGATGTGTTCATATAAATACATGTATGACTGATCAAGGCTTTGTTGTTTTTTGAGAAGAAAAAAATTTTCTATTTATTCCTATGTAAAGTTTTGGTATGCCGTTGTGTCCCCATCCTACAACCCTGGATTATGATTTTAACTGACTTGAATCTACACTAATTAAGAGTACTTCAATATAAGTTTTGCCATTTTTGGGCAAGTGGTTTTTGAGAAGAAGAGTTTGAAAAGATTTCATTATTTTAATTAAATTTGAAATTATTTATCTTTTGCAGAAGGTGAAGTCCTTCATTTGAATAAACTTGAATTCCTTATATCCAAGAATTCTTTGTGTCAACTTTGGTTGAAATTGGACTAGTTGTTTCTTGAGAAGTAAAAAAAATGTGACAAGTTTACAGAGAGACTGATGGATCAAATGAGATCAGAAAATTAAAATGATGTAGTTGAATATAAGCTAACGCTTTAATTAAACAAACATTTGCTTCTGGTCATGTACTGTGCATTATTTGCCTATTCGATTCCAAACCCAGGTGCTCCGACGATTATATTCAAAAAGGATACCTCAAATTTTGAATATTACTGGTTAATGCTACAATTTGAAAAAGAAATTGTTGGAGCACAGGTATTTACAAAAGTAAGTTTTGTATTCTTGTGATCAAAATTAATTATGCCATTGTCAATATTTCTAGGTAGTGAAGGGCTGCCTGTCAGAGCCTGTATGAGATGAAACATTGTTATAGTGACCTCAATATCAACTGGTATCTCACTCTCACAATCAATCAATGGAGTTTTGAGACTTCCTCCTGAAAAAAATTTATGGACAATGGACAATTTATCAGACATTTTCTGTTTGCAAAATATTTTGTGTTTTGTTAAGTTTCCAAGGTAAAATATGTCTGTTCTTTTTTCTTTAGAAAAAAATTATGTACATAGGCTCAATTTTCTTTAAAGGATTGCGGAAGTTATATATAAGAATGTCTTCCTTTTCCTTCTCCTCTTCTTTCTTCGGAAATATAGGAATGAAGAAATCTACCACATCTGAAGCCTTTGTTTCCTTTCCTGTTACCAAGAAGGAAGCCCCCTCGTTTGGAAACTGCTGTAATACTTCTAGTACCCTATGGAGTTTCAAACCTTTAAAAAAGATATTGTACATTTAAACAAGAGGCCCATGTCCCACATTGCTCACCTGAGTTGCTTTGACCAACTTTTAACTATGAATGCACCACTCAAAATATTTGTGGTAAATAATTCTCAAGTCTGAAAATGTGAAAATGAAATACTTGAGTTGACTCGGTAAGTTGTACAAAGGGGCAAAGGTTGTGTAAATTTCTTGAACTATAATTCATTTGTACCATTTACAAGTTGTGAATTCATGAAACTACTAACTGTTATGAAAGAAACATTAATAGTGTAGTGGAGACACCTATCGGTTATATGAGTTATTGTTCTTGGTCCTGGGGGCGGAGTGCGGTTGTCCTTGACAACCGGTACTCCTCCGCTAGGATCCGGGCGTTCCCGACGCTATCCGCGTACAGTCTGATTTTCCGTGTTATTCAATACAGTCATAATAATTTTTACAGGAGCTTGACTCCATTCAATTTCATTGAAATCTTTATTTATAGCGTCTAGTTTACCTATTTTGCCTACCAAACTTCATTCCTGAAAGTATTTTTCCATAATCTTCAACGTTACAGGTAATATCCACTGCACGCCCTTTTCTATTTTGTTGTTTTGTTGATTCTTATCATCAATAAATTATATCTAAATTTAATACAGGTTTTTGTATTCATTTATATCATGATTCGGGATCTCGTTACACTCGGGACTGTTTAAAGTAACTACCATCCTGTTACAGAAATTATTGGGGGCTTCGTCCGCGGGATTCGTGAATCATGATATATTTGTATTGAATTTGTTCTTCGAGTTTTTAAACTCATTATTCTGTGTTGAATTAACGTGAATTCTGTGTTTTGAAAGCCGATATGGCATCACGTTTGATTTACAATCTAAGTGCAAGTTTGCGAAATTTATTTTCGCCTCGACCGGTGCAACCAAACTCAGATGTTAACAGGATTGTAAATCCTAGTCAAGGTTTGTCAAATAATTCAGAAAATAATGTAGCTGAAGTGAACATACCTTCTTCAGACGTACACAGGCTGAACGACCCTGTATTTCATGATGCCGTGGAATTTCACGCAAACAATGGAGGTTTATCCTCACACATTGACAAAAAGTCACCACAATTCCATGAAATTACTGAGAATCCACATGCCTTTCAATTTCCAACACAGAACAAAATAAATCAAAAATCACAAGGAGATTTTCCTCCAATGCCAGCATCTTGTCAAAATGAATTTCATGACAGTCATGTCACACAAAATCGAGGATTTTCCTCACAGAAACACGATGAAATTCATAGATCCTCTCCAGTATATCGTTCATATACAGCATTAGAGAACGAACTTTGCACACAAAATACAGATTTTTCGAGCGAATCTCCTGTATCAAAACCTCGTGGCTTGTTCCACAATATTCAAACACATGCCGATTCGACAACTTCGAGTCACGTGACAAAAAGGGGTTTCCCAAGGAATGCGGAAGCTTCTGCTTCACCCGGTGTTTTGCCATTTCATTCCCCAGTTCATTCAACCCCATTTAGAAAACCCCAAGTTCAGTTTTTAGAAAATGAAAATAGTGTAAACAATTTCGGGGGGCCTGAACGTTGTTCAAATCCAAGTAATGTTCATTCAATGACTAGAAAAGAGAGAGAACCCGATAAGTTCGACGGTAAAAACGTTGAATGGCCAGACTATCTGAAACATTTTGAACAAGTAGCCTTATGGAACCGTTGGTCCGAATCAGAGAAAGCTTTGCAATTAACCATGTCCTTACGCGGTGTTGCACAACGAATACTTAGCGAGTTATCGCCAGAGCAATTGTCTGATTATTCATTTCTTAAATTTTCACTTTCTCAGAGGTTTTGTCCCTCAGAAAGAGAGACCGCATATAGATGCGAATTCAGAGTAAGAAAGAGAATGAGGGGAGAGTCAGTTTCTGATTATGGTTACGCATTAAACCGTATTGCAAATCGTGCATTTCCCAACATTCCGATGAGTAGCCGTGAAAATATGGTCGTTGATCAGTACATCAGTGGACTCGGCGATTTAGAACTTAAAAAGTATGTTCAATTTGCTCATCCTTCAACTTTGGATAAGGCAATAGCATTAGCTGTTGAGTATGAGGCGTTTGAAAGTGCTCATAGGTCCGTACCTATTAAGCCACGCAATATAGAGCAAGATATATTCTTGAACCAATCCGTCAGGGCACTTCAAGCTAACCATAGAGTCAATCAAACAAAGTTCTCTGAACCGCAAAATGAAAGAGAACTTGCTATTTTCGCAGAAATAACAAAAACAATGAAAGATCTACAGACTGCGATAAACACCCTAAATTCACCAGAAAACCGGAAGTCCGAAAATAGGGATGCTAGTAAGCCCAACATCAGGTGTTATACCTGTGACAAATTAGGTCATACAAGCCGTCAATGTCCAGAAAAACGCAAAAACCCTTCTCTAAATAACAATGCAAAACCCCCCAACAGAAACTCAAACAATCACCCAAACCTGACAGGACTGTCCTTGAGACCGGAAGTCCAGTCCCAGAAGTGTTAAGAAAGCGGAGCATATCTCCAAAACGGTCAAACAGTAATTTTCGTTTATCTGCATTGTCAGGATCTTGCTGGTTCGCGAATGTTATTTTACAGTCTTTTTGTGTGAATATGCTAATTGACACAGGGTCAGCTGTAACCCTTATTTCAAAAGAAATTTTTGATCTGGTCGGTTTTAGTGAACATCAGTTAGAAAAAGTTACAAATGAACTTAAAACCGCCGACGGAGAACCGTTACAAGTTTATGGGAAGACCGAAGTTGAGTTGTCATTAGAAAATAAATCATTTATCACACCAGTTATTGTTGCTGAATTGGGAGGACTCTCTGGAATCCTTGGGCTAGACTTTTTGTCTAAAAATGAAGTTTTATTTGATGTGGGGAAGGGAATTTTAATATTTTCAGATTTCAAAGTAAAACTTGAAAGTGAACACAGTTTAGGATGTGCACGAGTTTATCTCGCAGATGACATAACCATTTCTGGTCAGTCAGAAAAATTTGTAGAGGGTAGTATAGGAAATTCAAAATTTATGAGTTCAGAGGGTGTCGTTGAACCTAACACTGGTGGTGACCTAAATCAAGGAATATTAATTCCAAAATCAATTGTAAATATCAGGGAGGGTAAATTCGTTTTCTCCATCCTCAATACAAATTCTGAGTCTATAGAACTCAAGAAAAATACGCCTGTTGCGACAATTCAAGGTTTCTCAAATTTTGTTGAATGTGATTTCAATGGAAACAAAATGACAAAAGTTGACACTAATGAAATACAGACCAGTGAGGTACCTGATCATTTAAAAGTTATGCTTGAGAATATCTCAACTGAGCTCACCGTTGACGAAAAAAATAAGTTAGCCTCGGTTTTATACCGATATATTGACGTGTTCGAGAGTTCAGATGGAAAGTTTGGTCGTACTAGCAAAGTCACTCATACAATAGATACTGGTAATAATAAACCAATCAAATTACCCTTTAGCTCAGCGAGAAATAGCTGAAAATGAAATACAAAATATGCTCGAACAAGACGTTATTGAACCAAGTTTTTCTCCATGGGCATCTCCCATAGTTTTGGTAAAAAAGAAAGACGGAAGTACTAGATTTTGCGTCGATTACCGAAAATTAAATCAAATAACCGTCAAAGACGCATACCCCCTACCCCGAATTGATGAGTCAATAGATGCACTTTCAGGTTCAAGGTACTTTTGTACACTTGATATGGCTAGTGGATACTGGCAGGTGGCCATGAACGAAAAAGACAAATCAAAAACTGCTTTTGCAACTCATAAAGGACTATACCAGTTCAAGGTCATGCCTTTTGGCTTAACAAATAGTCCTGCGACCTTTGAACGGTTAATGGAATTAATATTGTATAATTTACAGTGGGATCGTTGTCTAGTTTATCTAGATGATGTTATCGTTTTGGGGAAAACTTTTGATGAAACATTGTCAAATCTGACAGCAGTGTTCGATAGATTTAGAGATGCAAATCTCAAATTAAAACCTAAAAAATGTGTTCTTTTTAGAAACGAGGTTTCATTCCTTGGACATGTAGTATCAAAAGATGGTTTTCAATGTGACCCAAATAAAACTCGCGCTGTTCAAGATTGGGATAGGCCAGAAACTGTAACGGAAATCAAGAGTTTTCTTGGCTTAGCCTCGTACTATAGGAAATTTATACCGGAGTTTGCAACAGTGGCATATCCACTAAATAGACTTACACAAAAAGACGTCCCATTTATATGGAATGACGACTGCGACAAAGCATTTCATACACTTAAGAAACTTTTAGTTTCTTCCCCAATTTTGTCATACCCGAACCGATACGATACTTTTATTCTTGATACTGATGCCTCAAATGATGGCATAGGCGCCGTACTGTCTCAGCTTCAAAATGGAGAAGAGAAAGTTATTGCGTATGGAAGCAAGACTTTATCAAAAACTCAGCGTCGATATTGTACTACTTATCGCGAGCTTTTAGCTGTGGTAGTTTTTGTTAAACAATTTAAACATTACCTTTGGGGTAAAAAGTTCTTACCGACCATTCTTCATTAAAATGGCTCCGAAATTTCAAAGAACCTGAAGGCATGGTTGCCCGATGGATAACCACTTTAGATACTTACGATTTCGATATACAGCATCGAAAGGGGTCTTTGCATGTTAATGTAGACGTCATGTCAAGAAAACCCCGACGTCGATGTAGACAAGAAAGTTGCGGGTGCAACGTGTCTGCAATAGTAAAATCTAAAAGTTCAAGTGAGTCTATCTCCAGAACTACTAATTGGTTAGAAAAGTGGTCTGACGATTACGTATCTCAGCTTCAGTCAGATGATCCATCAATAAAATTTGTCCTTGAAATGGTTGAAAATAAAACAGAAACTTTAAATCATGTTTACAAGAGTAACCCAGCTATTCGCCAACTTTGGAATCAAAGGGAAAACCTTATTGTCAAAAATGGTATTTTATACCGAGAATGGGTTGGTATATCCGACCATACCTCAAAGTTACTGCTAGTTGTACCGAAGGCAGTCCGTAAAGACATAATGTACCATTTACACAATAACAAAACTGCCGGACACTTAGGTCGAGATAAAACTTTAGATTCCATTCGCCAAAGATTTTATTGGCCTGGGATGACCTCAGATATTGAGAGGTGGTGCAAAAATTGCACTCTGTGTGCACGTAGAAAACAAGGTCCTGGTCTGGGTAAATCCCCAATGCAACATTGCCCTGCTTATCAACCTTTAGAGTGTATTGCCATTGATATAATGGGACCCCTCCCAATTACCGAAAATGGTCATGAATATATAATGGTAATAGGCGACTACTTTACTAAATGGAAAGAGTCATTTCCCCTACGTGACCATACAGCACAAACTGTAGCAGATGTTTTAATCACTGAATTTATATGTCGTTTTGGAACTCCCCGTCGCATTCATACCGATCAGGGTAGAGAGTTCGAATCTATTTTATTTTCCGAATTATGTGCCAGACTTTGTATATCCAAGACCCGAACCACACCCTACCGACCTCAATCGGACGGGATGGTTGAGCGATTTAATCGCACACTTCAACAAATGTTGGCCTTACTCGTTAATAAACATAGAAACGACTGGGATGACCATATACCCTATGTAATGATGGCTTATCGCGCAGCCATTCATGAAAGTACTAAATGTTCACCCAATTTACTTATGTTAGGCCGAGAAATAAACTTTCCAATTGACATTATAGCGGGTAATCCACCAAATTACAATGAAATTAGTTGTGAGAGTGAATATATGTTGAATTTGTACAAGAAGCTTTGTCTTCAGCATTTCAGCATGCTGGTGAGCAATTAGATGCAAGCTTTAAACGACAGAAAAAATATTACGATGAAAAACTTAAACCACGAACCTACAATAATGACGATTTTGTGTGGAGATGGTATCCACCTTGGGCAAAACAAAAATTAGGCCTAGGTTGGCGAGGTCCTTACCAGATTACTAAGAAAATAAGTAATGTTACGTACAAAATACAATGTTGTCAAACAGGGACGGTATTAGTGGTCCATGTTGACCATCTAAAGCCATACATGTCGGAAGAAATACCAGTTGTGTACAATAACACACCTTCGTTGAATGAAATTGAATACACAGAGGACAATGTAGACTCTGATGAATTGAGCTACATGCATAGTCAAGAAATGATAGAGGCATCTCCTCAACACACTCGATATGGGAGACAAATCAAAGCTCCACTCAAATATTCACCATAACTTTGTTGACTTTCATAAAACTCAATTTCAACCACCATGTAATCATGTATCATTATTATCAGTCATCGCCATATCATTTTATATTTCTCCCTGTAATACCGAAGATTATTAAAATCATACCAAACATTCAGTACAAAAAAAGCAGCAAGGCATACAAAGCATAATCTTTGCAGTTTCAGACATTTCTATATAAACATGTGAATACCATTCAGAAACAAACATGGTTATTGAAACCAAAGTCAATCATGACAGTACCGGACTATCATTACAGTTTATACCATATATACTTTATATTAAACCTTGTTGTTTGACATGAGCAAATACATGCACATCATATATATAGAAATACATTTCTGCAAAGTTATTGATATTGTACTCGCATGCTTTCAGATATATGTATTTTATTGAAAGGTATGCTTTAGGTCATAGTATAGATCTACACGGGAATGTTTATTATAACACTATGGTCGGTTATTGTATACCGAGTCGTATGACATAAACTTTTCATGATTTCATAAAGAGAAAATTAGCAAGGTGAATCCCTAAGGTCAAGGTTAATAATGTCATTGTGACATATATATCTATATGGTACACAGATTTATTTGACACTGTCTAGTATTTTGAGTATTTCACATTTATACAGTTGTACTGAAACTTGTAACTATTATGGCAATTTATTTGCAAGTTATTCATAACTGAATTGTTGATTTTCAGTAATGGACACTGACGTATTAGATATTCTTATCGGAGATGATGACCTCCTACAGTTTGATGACTTGCTTGACAACTCTGTCCTTTCACTTATAGTCAGGGGATGACGTGCCCTGTCCTGTCCTGTGGATCTACCTTTTTTTCAACTCGGAAGTCATATGCCCGCCACTGGGACGCCAAGCATAAGAACACTACCTGTACATATAGATGCTCCATTCCAGGGTGTTCCTCTTCCTGCAAGAGAGGTACGGACATTAAATTCCATCTGAGATCCATTCATAGATTACAAGGCGCTGCCCTCGAAAACTTTTTAATGAATTGTCAGCCTACCATCCTTCCTAACAAGGGCTATGTGGATCCAGGGAGTTTGAAGTTTGTCGCTTCCCTGCTGGACCCAGGCACTCTGCCAGCTGTGATGCCAACACCATCTGGGCCACCTGTGCAGTCTGTCTCGCTGTCATCTCCACCTGAGCTTATTGTGACCGCATCTCCAGTGTCCGTGTCCTTACCATCATCTACCGTACAAGCTTCATCATCCACACCTACTATATCATTCGCGCCGTCCATATCTACTTCTACAACTTCGTGCCAGACTGACTTTCTGTCGTTTTCTTCAGTACCTGAAAGTAAAGAGGATTTAGAATCTTTTGTATCATGTATCAGTGGAGAGATAGAACGGTTAGAGAGGATGCGTGAGATTGCGAGGAAGAGGTTGAGTGAAAGTAGTGAGATTCAGAGGGAGAGAGAGCTGAGGCGTGAGGTTGAGAAGGAGAACAGGAGGTTGAAGTTTGAGCTTGATAGTATTAAGAGGAATGAGAGTGAGCGAGAGAGATTGTATTTTTCGAGGGACGAGAGGTTTGAGATGCATAAGAGGCCTGATGGTAATTATGTTCCCCAAACGGAGTTTGGGAACATATTGTTTTTACTCGGTTTCTTATTATGTTCCCCAAACGGAGTTTGGGAACAAATTGTTTTTACTCGGTTTCTTATTATTATTATTATTCTTTTTTTTCTTCTTTGTTCTCCGGTACTTTTTTGTCCGCGAGTGTTCTCAGAAACTGTTCACCCAACTAAGTTAAAACCTTTTTAGGGTTAATAGGTGTGTAGTGTAGGTGTGCGGAACGAAGGTCATTTTGCGCGCATTCGCATGCACGTGCGTGCGCGTGAAGTGAGTGAAATGACTGATATACTTAATATGGCCATAACTTTTACATTTTTTGATGAAATGCTTTGAATCTCATTACATAAGGATATATTAATAGTGTTAATAATATGACACTGTCAAATTAGCACGAACTCACGCGCATGCACGTGCGCCTTGCTCTGATTGGCTGAAACAAAAATCTCAATTTCTCTTTTGTTTTTTGACGAAATGCTTTGAAATTTTAAACATTGTCATGAATTAAGACATCCTACAATATAGTATGGAAAAAATTTCATGAAATCACGCGCATACACGTGCGCTGCGATCTGATTGGATGAAACTTTAAATGGCTATATCTCCTTTGTTTTTTGACGAAATGCTTTGGA